ATTTTTTTACTTCATGTTGGATAGAGTTATCAGCTGATAAGTTTGATTTTATACTTGAAACTTTTAAGATTCCCCCAATTTGTTTTCTGATGTTCTTGGAACTGCTTGCAGTGATGGTATGAAGGGCTACTTGACTCCATGTTCAGGGGAGACTCTCCTGCTTATATTCAGGTCCCCAATATAGGGCCTGGAGGACATCTTGACCAACCAATTTATGTGAGATCACAGTCTTAGATCAAAGGTTTCTTCTAACTTTTAACGGCCTCTACTTCCGAATCTTTCTTACTCTCTCCCGCTATTATTCTTCTCCTGCATCATCTTCCTCTCTTGAAATTCTCTCCATATTTTTCCTGATTGAGTTTCCCATCTCTGGCAAGCTTGCAACCATATATATACCAAAATTATGGTTTGGCTCTCTAGGTGAAGAAGTTTCCTTTTGGTGTTTGGTCTGAGAATGAACACTATGGAAAGAATGCACTTGACTTCTCCAATGATACTTTGAAGATAGAAGAAATACAACATCTAATACTTTACTTGAAGATCATAATATTATGGAGAAGATACTATTTCTAATGGTTCCAATCTTCGCAGCATTTTTAAATAGCATTTGTTAAAATCGTACTTTTTAAAAATTTGAAGTCTATGAAAAGATCCTCGTGATGGTCTGTTATACGTATGTTTATATTTAATTTTTGCTGGCATTATATGTTACACGAAAAGGTCCTTAGATATCTATGTAACTACTACTTTATACAGTAATAAAATAATTCAATTACACACTCACCCAAAAAAAAGTTCAATTACATCATACTTTGTAGATAAATTTTTATATCAAATACCATAGACATATTATTACCTTATATCCAACTTACAAAGTTAAACAACTAAAAACTGAATATCGCAAATACTATTAAAATTATCTGATTCATTAATAATATATAAAAATTATATTTAACAATTTGTATGTAATCACTCATTTGCTAATAAATTCAACAAATAGTCATTTGTGCACATTTATGGTATATTCAAACTGGAAAATTGAAAATTTAGAAAAGCTATTTACCAAAAACTAAAATAAAGCCTTTTTCAAAAAAAAAAAACTAAAATGAATATGAACATTAATTGTTTTCATAAAAATTTATAGATTACATGATTAAAATGTAAAATAATTATATAAGTAAAAGTAAAATTAATACTGAATTTATTAGATAAGTCTATAATTTCTAAACATGTAACATAAGTAAATGGTGAATGTTAATATTGTTTTAAGAGAAATCTAAACAGTTAAAAATATTTGAAAACAATTTAAAAATTATATTATTTTCCACTTGCATACCCGCCTGTAGGGCGGGTTCAACCCTAGTTAAGAATATAACATCACTTTTTGGAAAATTAAGTTCATATACAGATTTTTCCGGTATTATCCTTTGTGGTTGTAAGTTGCCGGTCAAAGAGAGAAAAGAGATGACGTCGACGAAGAACATATGTGGATGGAAAAAAAAAGAGGATGTCATGAATGCTTTATGATAGCTTTTTGACAATATATCATACAAATATAATATGTATTTGTTGTTTCACCAAACATGAGAAAATCATGGAAACATTATCGATGACCTTTTTTCATTTACAAAAGAATAGTATAGAGTCTATATAAATAGTACAAGGTAACTAGTTTTTTTTTTGTTGTTTACATTATAAACCATAAAACTCTCCCCCTAACCACCCACCACTTAAACAATAAACTCTAAACCCAATCAATAAACCCTAAACCCAAATATAAAATATAATACAGTATATATTTACAATATGATAACATAAAAACAAGTTATTCTATTTTATACAAATGATATAGAAACATCAGAATGTTTTACACTATTTAGTTTGGTAGTCTAACGAATGAAACATGCGAGAAAGGAAAAACATAAAAATGTATTCTAAAGACTTTACATATACTATACTACAAACGCTTGAAATTAGAAGAAAATAGAATGTAAAAAAAATATAGAAAAATATGATTAATAGTTAATAGTAAAAATATGTTCAACTTTCGTTATCAAAGATTAACGATGTTCATAAATATAAAATGATGGTTACAATAAAAAAAATTACAACATATACTTTTAAACAAAATAGAACATATTTTAGTAATTGTCAGATGGAATAAAACATGATAATAGTATAGTAAAAGAACATATTGAGCAACATAATAGAAATAGAACATCAAATAAACACATATAATACATCTTGAGTAAGAATTTCTATTCTATTTATATATAGAAAAATGCACAATAAGCAAAAAATGTTTATATTCTCCTATTAATTTTTGGTAACTAACTAGGAAAGTGAATCTAATAATCGCGGTAGAGAATGAAGTTGCATGTGATTCAGTGGAGAACATTTTATTGTTGATATAATAGATGTAAGAGGAGAAGAGACTATGGGAAGAGCTGGAAGATGACGGTGGCAGAAGCGAATATTGTGACTATAATTAAACAATCAATAGTGTTGGTGGTGCAAAATATACATATGAATTGATTGAATTAGAGTGATTCAATGTTTTTGTGTTCATCAATACGAAAGAGAAAATGGGGTTCAAAGGAATAGAAAGAGAAAGCAAAAAAGAAAAAGAAACTGTTGCAACAAAGGGTAATTTGGCAAATAATATAGAAAATATGTTAAATATTGTAGTCAAGTTTTTTCTTTTAGTTAGATAATACATTATAATTTGTTTGATGGTCATACAATGCAATTTCCCTTTTAAGAAAAAAAACATTAATCAATCTGGTGACCAATTATTTAAATAATAAAATTTTGACATCATAAATATCTAATAAATATATTTAACATGAAGTAGGTTTATGAATGGGATTTTGTTTGGTTTTGTAGGAATTCACTAGGGTTTCGTGTTGGACTTATGGGGCTGGGTTTAGTTTCCATCTCTAGTAGGGGGTTATGATGGTTCATATAAAAATTACTCCTTCGTTTTTTTATATGATGTTTTAGAAGATTTATGTTGTTTCAAAATATAAAATGTTTTGAGATTTTAAGGTTAACTTTAACTTTATTGAAAACTGCTGAGCCAATAAAAATTTTACAGTTTTTTATATAATTGGTTGAATGATTTTCAAATAATATCTTTAAAAGTATTTTTTAAAATAATATAAATGTCTTAATCTCCGTGCACTAAACCAAAACATCAAATAAAAATAAACGGAGGAAGTATAAAATTTATATAGGGTGCATAAAAGTTATAAATAATACTAGACTTTTTAACCCATGCGGAAACCAAATGCACGGGTTTAATTTTTTATTAATGTATTTATAATTTTTTCTATTATATATTGTATAATTTTATAGAGTTTGTTACTGTGTGGATCATTTAAATTTATTGTTATACAATGTTTATTATTTTGATATCTAATATATAGTATCATTGTTGTTAATTAGTCTCAACTTTATCTAATATAATTATATGGATGACCATATTCAGAAAATGAGTAAACTGAACATTTCGTTTTTACTTTTTTCTTTATAAATAAACATTTGTTATAATTATTATTGATATTATTTTAATATTTACCATATAACTTATTGTATATTATTATACTCCCAAAAAAATCTATAGAGTGAATGTGATAATTTAACACATTGTTTCAAATTATCATTTGTATGATATTTTTAAGATAAGCAAGGTTTACCAGAATCTCTGAATAAAATTATGTACGACTTCTATGTAAGTCGTTTAGAAAAAAAATTGTTTAATATTTCAGTTGTAAACTAACCTAAGATGACTTCTATGTAAGTCGTCTAGGTATAACAAAATATTGATTTTTAAATTTTCTGACACATTTGAGACAAATGAAAAAAACAACCTATTTTCTCTAGACGTCTTGAGTTTTTTTTTCTATCAACAAAGGTGGATGACTTACGTGTAAGTCGTCTAAAAAAATTAAAAATCAATTACAAAACTAACATCTACATTGACCAGACGACTTCCAAGTAAGTCGTCTGGGCAACATATCTGGAAAAAAAATCTCGATTTCATAGTTTCAACCAGTGAGATAACTTGTTTAGAACCCAGAACTCTTCTCCAATCATCCAGAATCTCAAATAAAAGCGACCCACCAAGACTCGTAAGCTTCAAGGGTTCTAAGAACTAAAAACTTTTAGAATCAAAATTTTGGGGTTTTTTGGATAAATATGGAAAGAAAGTGAAAGAAATATTGTTTTAAGTTCGTAAGAATTGAGAAAGAAGAAGTGTAAATCGATTTGGGGTGCATTAAGAGCTTCAAATTGGTTGTTCATGGTGGTTGGTGTATTGATGGCAATGATAATCTTGTAAATAATTAAAGATAATGAGGTTAGAAAAATAAGAATGCCATTTTTGAAAGAAGAAAAAAAACTAATGGCATTTTCGTAAATAATGTGAACTTGTGGAATGAATAGAACAGAAGAAAAATTCAAAAAAGAACATAAGTTAGTTTTGTTGTTGATTTCATGTTTTTCAGACCGTTTTGCAAATAACCCTAAAATGTAACTTTGAATGTCAGGAACGTGAACTCAATAGCATGAGTTGGCTGGATTAGATTATCATATGGGACAAGATGAAACAGCGGGTTTTCTCTACTCTCTTCAAGGGGATGATGTAAACTATGGTTTGCGGAGATAGTCAACGTTTAATAGACATCATCAATAAAAAAGAAGATAACAGTATAACACAAGTGGGGAACATGCTTCAATATGCGAACGTTACTGGATTGTTTTCTTGATTATGTCAATCACGAAAAGAACCAAGCAACAGATGTACTCTAAAGAAAATTACATGAATCTTCTAAGTTATCTCAGTATCACAGTATTTTCCTGATTTGGCTTTTTGTAGTTTCTTGTTGCTATCTAATATTAATTCAGTTGACAAATACACTTTAGTGTTTTCAGCTTGTCACTGAATAAATCAATTTTTTATTCGATGAAAAACATCCAATCAACCGAAAAATGTTTTCAATTCGTTGTGTCTTTTTCGATTTCGATTTTTTTGTTTGTTAAGAGACGTATGGAAAAATGAAAAAAAAATCCAACATGAAAAACTCAAAAGCTTCCACTGAGCTCACAAAGAAAATGGTATACAAGTTAGTTCAGTTGTTGCAACCCAAGGAGCTTCAGCATCTCAAAATGAAGATTTCTCAACATCTGAATCAGCTTGATAGACACCACCAAATGATGATTTCTCAATCTCCAAAAATGTGGTTTTTCTGCCACGCCATATTCGAGGCTGGAAACGATAGTAACAGAAGCTGAATCATTTTCTTATGGCATAACCAACTAAGAGGAATTGTATCCTCCTTTTTCTTCCAATCGTTATTCTACACTACAAGACAATTCTTTCGCTTTTTCTACTCACTTCTATGTTTTGGAACTTGTATTCATCTCGCATATCTTTTCATCTAAACGTATGCTTAATTTCTTCTTTATCACTCTCTAAAAAGCTTATTAATTACTATCTTGCTTAAGAACTATCGAACAGTTGACCCAGTGACCAAGGCTTAAAATTTTACAAAGACACTATCTCAAACACTGGGAGCAAACAACTGAAGCCTGTGTTGTACTTCACTTTTTATGTGCAGAGTAATAATGAGGTCAAAAAGAATAGCTGTTGGGTCCGTATAAAATGTGACACTCTAATACTACCAAGTACGAGAAAACTAATGGAATCTACAAGAAAAGAAGTATTTTCAAAATCTATCTTCCTTATGAATCTGTTACCATGCGTGTCTACTTATCCGTTTCCTTACCGGAAAAGTTAGGACACTGAGGCGGATATATCTCCTTCTGCAAGTCTCGGGGCCGCCAAGAAGTTGAGAGTTCCAGCTCCTCCACAATAAGATAAGTCTCACTCAAGAGACGAAGAGATATGTTTATATGGAAGTGATGAGACCAGTTTGGTTTGTGCATAGACATGAGCAGTCCGGTTCAGTAGAATTTCTTAGGACAATGCGTTTGTCGCGGTTACTCATTAGCTTGATGAGTGGTAGCTTCTGTGAGACTTGACGCCAGATCTCCTTCACTGCTCCATTAGGGTTATCATAGTCAAAATACCGTCTTACCTGCATGCCCATCACACATGTGTGAGAAACGTCTACTTAAATTATTAGGAGTTGAATAATAGAGAAAGTTATGTACCTGTTTCATCTCTCTTTGATACTCCAGAACCTTCTCGGTTCCTATCTTCCTCAGCATCCCAACCAAGAACCCTGGCTCCAGAGCCACACCGGCCTCGACGAAAATCGAAAACTTTCTGTAATCTATAACATCTTCGAAAGGTAACTCGATGCTATCGCTTACAATGACGGGCACACACAAGCTGACTATGGAGTCAAAGAGTCTGCATGCGGATGGAGTGTCGCCCGCAGGGTTTAGACAGAACTTTGAAGTATGCATTCCTTTCGTAGCAGCTCGTCGATTCTCTCTGGATTGAGTTCCATGTTTGATGGTCACATCTTCTTCCTTTTCAAGAACTTGGAATAGCAAATCACGAACTTTCCCACCCTAAAGACACACAAACACAAAGAATCAGTCTCAGAATCAAGACTCCATTTCAAGAAAGACACACAACTATTAATGCAACTTACATCTTTGCGGTATCGATTCCCCATGAAGAAGAGCAACGTGTCACGACCCTCCACACCAACTTCACCAGTAAATAGATTAACCCTATGAGAGTAAGGTATCACCACATCTTTAACAAACGACCCTTGATCACCCCTAAGCCTCCCAAAATCCGCCACCAGCAAAACCGCATTCTTGACCCGGTCCAAGATCCGGTACAACGCGTTCGGATCTCCCGCGGGTATAACATGATCTCTCCCTCTATTCCTCCTCCACCACTCCTGGCCCTCGAGCCACTCCACCAACTCCTCCTGCATCTTCTCGTCGCTGTAACCCGACCCGGGATCAACGGGTCGACCCGCGTTAACTATCAAGCTTAGGGAAGAGAACACGGGGACGTAGAAGAGATCAGCTTCTGCAGGATCCAGCACTCGGGTTATCGGAGACCCGGTTGGATCCGTCTCGGGTCGGTTTAGATCCGAGTAGAGGTACCACTCGTGCATATGCTGATGACCTGGATACTTGAGCGTGGTGACGTCATCTACGGGGCTTTTTATTCCGCCGCGGACGATTGCGTGTTGTTGGATGATACCGTGAGTGAATCTTTTTGGGAGATCGTACATGTAAACCTTAACTTTGGGTTTGGGTTGGATCGGAGCAGGTTCTTGTTCTTGTTGGCGGATGAGCTGACGTGGGAGATCGGATGAGGAAGGGAGGGAGCGGCTGACGGAGGCGTTGAGGATCACGTAGATGGCGATGACGGAGAGGATGGCGATGGCTGCTCGTTTCAGGAGGGATGATTTACGCGCCATTGTTGGAGGGTTTTCAGGTGAGAGAGAGAGATTGGAGAATGTTTACTTTGCGCAAAGTAGAAGACTTATGAAGATGACTGTCGTGATTTCGGTTCGGTCCAAATCTTTTAATAACTACAGATGAAAATTAATAAAATGTCGATATACGTAAATAAACAGAATTATGAATGACCAGAAAATATATATGCATAATTGCGAATTACGAGTCTATGATAATGATAATAAGCATACCACAATTAACTGGTGTGTTAAAATATATATATGACAATTAATGATTTTAAACAATAAAGAGTTGATAACAATCTGTATATTTTTTCTCATTTTGCTTATTTCTTTATTATTAAAATAAATTACACAATTACATTAATCATATAATAAAAATCTAGATTTTTTTTGTGTATGTTGTATTTCGAATTTTTCAAAATGAGTATATTACTAAAACTGTTAAAAGTCTCACATAAACTTTTAGGATCAAGGTTTTAATTTTTTTTTCTATATTACAATATAATGATTATAAGACCATATGAAGAAATAATTTTAGTTTATATATATATTTCATATCGTTTTAATTAAACTATACATCGTATGAAAATATATACATATATTTTGATATTTGCCTTGAACATATACTGAAAATTTAATATTTAATTTTGAAATATGTCATTGTTTTTTTTTAAAAATGATTATAAATTATTGAAACGACTAAACATCTCACATTAAAAAAAATCGTTGGTGTAAAGTTTTGTTACACAAATATGCAAATAATCATAAAATCATATGAGTAGAAACCTCATTTAATAAATATCTATATTAAAAGTGTGCTATATTACTATGTTTATATCATTTAAAATTTAATTATATATCATATACAATATATAAGATTAATTATTTTGATTTATTTATCCTAATTGCGAATAAACAAGAGTGATAGTTAAATTTATATGCATACGCCAATTTATTACATAATAGTAACTGATTTCTTAGTTATTTGATATATATATTTATTATTTTATTTTATAATATGCAGAAAAATATAATATAAATAATAAATATAAATACACAAAGTGCAGATCTTGACCTAACTATGTATCTCTTTAGTTATTTTAAATCTTAAGTATTTTTTAAATCTCAGGTCAAAACAAACGAAATGAGACTAAATTTCAAAAAAAATATTTATATCGAGTAATAACCAAAATATAAAAAAACACACAAGAGAAAAAATTGAAGATAAATAGGATTGACACGTGAATGTGAACTTCTTATAACCATAGTTAATTTTTAAATTGTTAAATAATGGTTATGTTAAATCATGAGCATAATTAATTTTAAATTGTCTATTTGTATTTGAAAAACTTAAAAAAAAAAATTTAAAAAATTTAAAATTTAACTTAATTTTATATAAAATTATTTAAAAAATAAGAATTTTTAAAAGTATAATTTTCTAATATTATTAGACAAATAAGTAAATTATATTAAATTAGTTTTGAAACTTTATATATTTTAAATACAAATATTTTACCAACCGTTTCTTAAAAAGACGTTAGAAAACTTGCTAATACTCTACCAATCAAGCCCAATGACACTCAGTTTATTTTCCTTCACTCGAACACTGAAAAGTGGAAAGATATATGAAATCGGGTCCATTAAATTCTAAGATTTGATCTACAGTTCTAATTACAATCGTTTCTGATCCTACGTATAGATAGTTATATAAAAATTCTAAAATTCTAAAATTTCAAATACATATAAAAACAATCATATGTAAATTTTAAATTTATCAATACTAAAATTTTATATTTTAATTATATATATATTCACCATGCGTAAGAAGCATGTCTTATCCTAGTTAATGAGTACAAAAGATGATTTCCAATTTTTTTTCTTCACTGTGCACATATCATTGCAATATTGCATCACAGATTTTGTTTCTGACCTTTCAGGCTTTCAAATTAGCTTTTGAGGTTTATTTCTAAACCAGAAAATAATAAAATCCGGTCTCGGTTTGGTACAATCTCTCGAAAAGAATAAAACCGGTTTCACACAGTTTGGTACAATCTCTCTACCTAATTATTTTCCGGTTCGTTTATGAATCTTCCATTAGCTTCTTGTTTATACTCAGGAAACTTTGATCCCACACTTGTCGAAGTGCACATTTCCACGTTATAAAATAGTTTCAAAAATCCGTTCCATCACTTTAAAGATCCTAAGGAAAGGAATAAAAGTATAAAAGAACCAATTTGTACTTCAAATGAAGTAAAGAGGCCAAATGAAAGATCATATCAATGTGCCAAAGCTTATTATTTTCTACCCTTGTTCAAGCAATAGAGAAGGAAAAAAAACATAAAAAGAGAAGCAAAGATCGAAATCTCCAGGGTTTTCTTGATTCATCCATGTACATAAATCAAGATTTTGTTTTGATCGCAATGGAAGCTTCCAGAAGAAAAAAAAGCTTAGTGCTTGGCGTCTTCTTCCTCGCAGAACTTGGAGTACTTGTCAGAATCCATCAGCTTCTTTGCCTCTTCTGCATCACTCAGCTCCACCTTTATGATCCATCCATCTTCATACGGGCTCGTGTTCACCTGCGAATTCCAACAAAACAATCTCAGCTCAAGACTACAGAAACAAGAATGTCCTAGCTCATGATGTTTAACAATCATATCAGTCGTTGCATCAAGTTCCTCAAAGTTTAAGTCTTTCACATCAGCTAAAAGCCTAAGACTTTCCAAAAATCGAATGATGTCATCCCTGGAAAAGATTATATATACACATCACCCACTAATCAAGAAGACGTTTACATCATGAAAAGCAGTCACAGAATCAAATCACTAAGCAATGACTGTCACCAAGGAATCATTTTTTTAAGCCATTTGTATCAAATGAAACAAGTAATAAAGCAAATAACACAGAGAGGACTCACCAATCCAGGGGACTCGGTCAGAACCTCATTGACTTCAACCACCTTACCAGAGACTGGAGAATTGATATCACTAGTAGCTTTCACACTCTCAACCGCTCCAAAACTCTCACCTTGTGACACCGACCTTCCCAAATCAGGCAACTCAACATAGACCACATCACCCAAGTGGTCCTGAGCGTGATCCGTTATACCAAAGGTTGCTTTGTTCCCATCGATCTTCACCCATTCATGTGATTCAGCATATTTCAGATCCTTCAAAACCACTATAAACACAGATAATAAAACAAAATAAATGTCAAAGATTCAAACTTTCAAAAATAACTGATACTGAACATGTTGTTTCTTAGCTGTAAACAAGTTGTTTTTCAGACAAAACATAGTTCCACAACAAAACCACTCATACATCAGGTTATTGATCTACAAAACGATCAAAGATCCATACTTTCAATGAAAAACAATCTCAGATTCAATCATAACAGAGAGAGAGAGAGAGAGAAAAAAAAACGAATAGATTATCAAACGTAAGAGAAACGAATCAGAAGGAGACAGAGATTATTCACCAGAAGCAAACCCTCGTTGGGCGATGGAGATCTTAAGATGAGAAGCGACCCTAGAAGCCCACAAGAATCTCGCAGCCATTTTTTTTTCGTGGAGATCTCAAAGCAGAGAGAAAACGCAGATACGCAACAACAACAGTAAGATAGAGAGAGGGAGTGCACTCACCACCGACCGGGTTATTGTTATTATACTAGTCTTTACGAGAAAAGGGTTTGGTGGGTTTGGCTTTTTGTTCCATAAAATATCACTTTCTCAAATGATTATGCTCATGGACCTATTTTGCTTCAACTACCCCACTAAAAGCGACGTTGTGGGAATGTGACACTAGACCATATAGTATAACATGAATAATAATGTACATTCTGATCATAAAAATCCAAACTTTACTAAGAAGGCACAGTTAAAGATGTAGACATCCCCTTGGGGAAAGAGAACTCACAAATACATCCTTATTCATTACATGTTCCACTTGTTCCTCACTACAACAAGCAATAAGAAGAACCTTAGATGTTCCTCCATCAGTTGCACAACCCAAATCAATCATCTCCAGGCATTTCACATACAGTTTCTTAGAACTTTTCACATACACATTTAACTCACATACAGTTTCTTCTTGGTGTAAGCTCCGACACTGGAGGTCCATGTGTCTCAGTGTCCTGTCTGAACCTCTCCTTGAGCTCACCTAAAAGCTCTTCCTCTCTCTCCAAGAACCTGGCTTCACCATAGACATTGATCAAGCTATATTTATTGGATGTGCTTATGTCCGTGGGGTATAACGTCCCATTTGGGTAATGGTATCACCTTTGAATTTCATACAACACAAGCTTATACAATCTCGATACGTGTCTTGAAATGTTATTATCGTCCGCAAGGAATAACAATACTATACACAGTTACAAAATATAATTTTGGCTTACTCCTCAGAGTTCTATTCCACGTTTGCTCTGCTTCAGCGAACTAAAACTTTGGTTTCTTTAGTTTAGGCTCACCAAGATGCAACGATACACTATCCTCGTCATCGGAACTGTTCTTTAAAGCGACAAGATCATCAACTTTATGTTTCACTTGCTCTTTACTACCAGAAGAAGTAGACTCGTTAAACAACAAAGGAGCAAGGAAGAGATGCTCCTCTAGTTCAGGTGTTGGTCTAATAGCCTCTTCTATGTGAAACTCAGGTGGGATAAATGGCTCAAAGTTTTCATCTTGTCTGTCTCCTGAAGGAACCGGGTCGGGTGGGGATGACTGGCTAACGGTTGAATCAAGGGCTGTAACCGAAGTGTTTCTCTGTTCTCTTGCAGCTGCTGCAAGTACACAAAGCCACAAAGAAATAAGTTAAGAACTATCTGAGAATGCTAAGAAGAGAGTGGTGTTAAACCTTCAAGCTCATGGTTAGATGTGATGAGATCAAGCTCCAAGAGATCCAAAAGCCGACCAAGATCAACTCCACTTGTCCAGTTCTCAGGTTCTTGACCAGCTATAAGTTTCAATCTTCCTCTATTAGCTGTTCCTCCCCAAATGATCCCAACTGGTCGTGGCTTCTGACCATTTGGACTCGTTAAGAGTATAAGGCTTCCACTATCACCTTCAAGGTCAAAAGTTTGCTGGTTTTCACCAATAACCAAAAAGTCCGTGAGGAAACATATCCCTTTCTCGTCATTGTATTCCAAGGCATACGCCATTACGGTTCCAGTGGTGTATCCAGAGCTTCTTCCAACTTTAACAACTTGTTTCCCAATGAGACTATCAATAGGGGACTGCAAGTCTATGGCTTGAACGTTGCCTATCTCACCTATCCCTTTTATCACCGTGGTTACATTGCTCGTATCAAAATCTTCTGCAAAAGGAATGAATGCACCATCTGCTCTCACAAATGTTTCTGCATTGGAATAAAGACATGAACCGTTCATGATATGCCGGTTCCTGATCAGAATGATACAGAGATATGAAATGAGGTTGTACCTGGATTGGTACCAGCAAAGATGCCGTACCACTGGTCATCTGTGATGAAAGATGTTGCTCTCTCAACTGCACCGAGGTAGACACCAGGTCCAAGGCTTGGAGGTAAAGGATGAAACATTTTCTGGCTTGGATAGTCCAAATCAACTGCGACGTGCCGGTTTGTAAGGAAACCAATTTGATGGTTGCCCGTTTTGCTTTTCACAATAGCTCCCAAGGTTCCATATGTTTCTTGGCTTGCAACCTAACAAACACAGAACACACAAATGAGACGACTTTACGCTTACAGTTTGCAGAAGAAGGAGAGATAGGAAAAAAGATGCACCTGAGAACCAGAGCCAATGCAGGGATCACTTCCTCTCAAGCCATCTACAAGCTCATTATAAACCTGCTCCTTTGGTGTAGCAGCAGGAGCACCGTAATATTGGAACTCCACAACATCTACATCGCACCATACCCCTCCAGGACCCTATTAAGACACAAACACATTACTTATCATCTAATGTTCTGATCAAATTTCTAAAAAGCTATGCGTTGAAGATAACTCAACCTCGAGAGCAGAAGGAAGACACTGCATTGGATTCAGCCACTGCCTATGGACTTTCCTAGCAACAAACACAAGTATAGCCGGAGTATTCGTCAACACACCACGGGTGATCCGGAACCCAACTGCAGTACCGAGGCTAAACCGTCTCAGGATCTTACTATGAAACGCTCTAATAGTCATGAGCTCAAGCAATGTAGTGGCTTGTTGTCCTGATGGCAACCTCCCTACAATTTCAGGCAAAACACCTTTCTGAAGATTACCAAAATAGTTAGCTCGGTCTTGTACAGCGTCGTTGAGGCGGGTGAGAGTAGGCCAGGAGAAGTAAGGGGCGTTGCTCTCTGCGTGTTGGATGTTGAGTGTGAAGGGGTGAAGAGGAGAAGGGCTTGAAGATGATGGAAGACTCATGTGATTACAGTGATGGTTTCTCTCTAAGTCTAAAGCAGAATCCTCGGATTCAGAAGAAGCTGGTTGTATGAATCTTTGACCATAACCTCCCAAAGTCATAGCTTATACTCAAGAAATCACCGCTGTACTGTTTCAGCTCTGTAACAAAGATTCCATCAATGCGAATTTTTAATATATTTTTTTGGTCAGCTAAGCCTCATACATACTGAGTCAAGCTGATTATAACTTAAATGGGAAGATAAATAAACTCGAACTTGTTCCTATCTAGCAAGAGAGACAGAATAGACATTTAAACGGCTGAGGAACATAACTAAACTGAAATTCATGAAAACTAGTCCTAAGCTAGGTGAAGTACTCTATAGGCCCGCTACTATCGACTGGTCATGATTATGTAAAAAATTAAAAAGTCATGAAAACTACTCCTAAGCTGGATGAGCTAGTCTAGGTCCGTTTTGAAGTTATAGACCAATCCATAGATTCATCAATCATCTTGAGTAAGTATTCAAAGATATCCGAGTGGATGTTTCTTTCACTTTCATTTGAATTGTTAATAATACAATCAAAATTGACATATTTATGCAGATTAATCACAATAATAAGAGAAAATAATCCAAACCCAAATTGAGTTTCATGAACAACCCTAGAAGTTGAGTAAACCTGTATAACCATCTTCAAAATTCAAAATTTACAATCCATAAGAACATACACGCAAAGAAAGAAGGAACCTAGAATCTACATCATGCAGAAAATAAAACAAAAGGTCTTATGGAGTCTAATCCAAACCAAACATAAACTCAATCCAGCAAAGACGATAAAACTCACCGACAGGACAATTCTTGGGAGTAGCAGCGAGAACGAAACCAAATTGTGTCCTAAATTAGTGGGATGAGAGAGAGGTAGCTGCATTTAAGGAGAGAGAGGATTGCAGATAGAGATGGAAGCAGAAGAAGACGAGGGGAGAGATGATGATGATAGCAATTGCTGCATAATAGTCTCTTCTTGTTACTGTTGATGGTGGTGGTTGTGTGTAATACAGTACATCAATTATCTTCTTCCTTTTTTTTTCAATTTTGTCGACGCATGAATAATTGTTATCTTATTTATATTCTTCTAAAGCTCTTTTTCTTTTTGGGTCAACACCAATAAAATCTCTTTTTAAAATTATTGGTATGTTCTTTTTTGCTATTATGTTATTCTTACCATCTCTTTTGGGTTTTGTAGTTTTTTCCTATAAGATTATTTTAACAATGATCAAATTATGATTTTTATTTGAGTATAAGAAAAAGTGCTAAATCGATACTAAAGTGAGTTGTTCTCTTTGCTTCAAGGGAGGTTTTCTAAACCTCATGTAATGTTATTTGCAGAGAACTATATACCTCAACTTGAGGAACTCAAGTACTATTACAACTATAAGATTTGATCAGGTGAAGGACTCTGACCGTAATACCGAGAAAGACAAGATGGTGTTGCGACTTGTATTCAGACTCTTCTTCTTAATTGTTCTTTCATTTTAATGTTCAATGAATTAGTAATAGGCTAATAGCCTTGGTACTAGTCTTTCTCCTATAGTCAGTTTGTGTTATGTAGTTTTAGCTGCATTGTTCAACTCTTGAGTTATTTCACTGAAACTCACACTGAGCTAATTGTTTCATAGTTTATTTTTCATAAGCTGCATTGTTAAGTAGTGCAAGTTTGCAGTTATTTGTTTAACAATTATCTAGAACTTAAAATTCCCACATCTATTGTCTACGGAATGCTTTGTCTGGGTCAAACCCATATGACCTTACAATCCGTCTTCACCCACTTGTTTATTGATTAATTTCAACTGTTCAATGGTGATGTGGATGGACCTTGATCATATTGACAGACAACAATAAATAGGACCTCTGATATGTCTTAGTGGTTGCTTAGGCACCAGAGAATCCGCTAGCCCTCTTGTCTGTGTTTGTTTGTAGCTGCACCAAACTCATCTCACATTTGGTTTGATTTGTAATTTCATCACGGAAAGACATTTTTGTTACTATTCCAGGATTGGCTAACATACCGAACAGTGAGTACTTGATTTTAGTTGTGGGATCCACTATTTTGATGATTAATTGATGATTCCAAAATTTATTCTAATATGCTCTTTTAGCTTTTGATATATATGTTTATATATATATATGATGATCTTGAGGATCCAGAAAAGATTACTCTTGAATTAGGATATCCATATAGAAAAAGATACATATAAAATGAGAAGGGATTGTCTGACCTTATGGTAGTCTCTAACTTTCCATGACCACACTTCATTTTAAGATTTACAGTTATATCTCAAGATTTTGACTATGACATTTGGTGTAACTCGATGGCAATTCGAGTTGGGACAAATGAATCCATTTCCCATAGAACAACGGAAGCTAGGTTACTTAAAAGTTTTTTTTTGCCCCAAATTTGGTTTAGATTCGGTTTATGTATAATGGGATATAAAAACATTGTAGTATACATTAATTAACATTTGATTTGGTTCTAGGTAAGGCAGATTTTATCTTTGTATCAAAGTCAAATTAACGAATAAGCTACTGCAATAGCACTAGCCGTTGGATCTGGAGAGGTGACAAATCCGACGTACCAGGTTATATGAGTCCTATACTGACAAACAGCGTCGTGGTGGGTCCCACTCAATATTATCGGTAGCGCAGTTTTTCGTTTTCAAATTTCTCTCTCGTCTCGTCCCCAGAATTGAAAAAAAAAAAAACAAAATGTCCGAGAGAAAATAGGTTTAAAAAAAAAAAATAATCTGCGTGAGAAGAGAGTTTATGCTCGTGACTTTTGATTCCTGTTTCTTCGTTGTCGATTTTAGACATCCACATTGGTCCTCGTAGATCTGAAGAACATACATATAATCCCACCGGATTGGGTATTACGAATTAGCGCGTTTCGTTGACATCGAGATTCGATTGTTGTTGTTGTGTTCGAAGGTCACGACACGACGAGCTAGTTTGATTCGATTTGGAATCGTCTTTTTGATTCGCATTCCGGATCTAATCTGGAGGAGACATTGTTTTGGTGGATCTGCCCTAATCTGAAGAAGAGCCATTCCTTGTCTTTTTTTATTTATTTAATTTAATTATTCTTCTGGATTATAAGAGAGATGGATCTATCGGCGGTTAGCGAAGAGCTGGCTGAGATCGAAGGACAAATCAATGACATCTTCCGTGCTTTGTCGTGAGAAATCTCTTTTATTTTATTTTTAGCTCTTTTCCATGTTTTTTTTTGTGTTCTTGTCCGTAAAGTTTTGTGTCTTGTCTTGTTTTTTTGCGACCAGAAATGGATTCCAGAAGCTGGAGAAGATCAAAGATGCTAATAGGCAGAGTCGTCAGCTCGAAGAACTCACTGACAAAATGCGTGACTGCAAGAGGTGACCAATTTCTTGATTTATATAATTATATATATGCTTTTGATGATTTTGATAATTTGTTCTTCTCTTGCAGCCTTATTAAAGATTTCGATAGAGAAGTCAAAAGCTTGGAAAGTGGAAATGATGCCAACACTAACCGGATGTTGAACGATAGACGTCAATCTATGGTGCCTTAATTTGACAAATTTCGATTCTGTTCTATAATTTCAGAATTATTTTTTTTCCTAATGCCAAGTGTGATGTTGTGCAGGTTAAAGAACTAAACTCATATGTTGCTCTTAAGAAGAAGTACGTGACACTTTTTTACTTAATTCTCTTTTGATTTTTCAGGATCATGTTTTGTGTATAGTTACATTTTTGTTGGAGTTTGTTGCTTGTTATCATGTTTATGATGATGATGATGATGATAATTTGTACAGATATTCATCCAATCTAGCAAGTAATAACAAGCGAGTTGATCTTTTCGATGGACCTGCAGAAGATCACATGGAAGAGAATGTCTTACTTGCTTCAAGTATGTCTTTTTGAACTCTTGCATTGAGGTGCAATAAACTTTTGTTATATGAATATATACTTACCTAGTGTATTTACTGGGAACTTGATCCCTTTCAGACATGTCCAATCAAGAGCTAATGAATAAAGGAAACTCTATGATGGATGACACTGATCAAGCCATTGAAAGAGGCAAAAAGGTAGGTCACTACTCTCTTCTCTCCGTTTACATATATTTTTTCTGAATATATGCCTTCTGATAAGCAAAGTCTCACTGCATTTTTTTGTGTGGCTTTAACAACAGATTGTTCAAGAGACTATAAATGTGGGAACAGATACTTCAGCAGCTCTCAAGGCTCAGGTTTGTAACAATTGCTGCTTCTATTCTGTTCTTTACAACATTCCTCTTTACGAGACCTAAAGGATTGTTCATCTTTTCATTGTTCAGACCGATCAAATGAGTAGAGTTGTCAATGAACTCGATTCTATTCATTTCTCACTCAAGAAGGCCTCCAAGCTGGTCAAGGAAATTGGTAGGCAGGTCAGTCTCCCCTGATTTCTTCTTTATATTTTTCTGAATCTTCCTCCTGTTACCTTTTACTTGACTCTCTGCTCTTCTTCTCTCAGGTGGCCACGGATAAATGTATTATGGCATTTCTTTTCCTTATTGTCATTGGTGTCATAGCAATCATCATCGTCAAGGTACTTCTCAACTCCTTTCTTATATATATATATATATATATATATATATATATATATTAATATATGTGTGTGTGTATATACTCGTAAACACTTCTCTTCTTCTCTTTTTGGATAGATTGTGAACCCAAACAACAAAGACATCCGTGACATACCTGGCCTAGCTCCACCAGCCATGAACAGACGTTTACTCTGGAACCATTACTGAAACCAAAATAATCTCATTTCATGCATTCAAATTACTGGTACGTTGTGCACGCTTCTTGGTCCTTCCCATAAGTGCATGTTGTCGTTAGATGAAGCGGACTCACTTGAGAAAATTAACCAGTTTTTATTCCCATGGCTTTTGTCAAGTCACAGGAATCAAATTCATTTTCTTTACCATCCCAGATTCAAAAAACCCATCATTTTGCTGTTCATGTGCTTTGTATACCGATGACTCTTTATGTGTTATATCATATGTATGTCTTTTTATTTTATTTTTAAACGTGGCATATGTTTCATGTTCTGGTAATAATTTACTCGTTCCTCTGTTTTCACTGGTTTATGTTGAAAGCTGAAACCCATCGTATGAATTTAAAGATATTAGAATATTTCTTTTCTTTACGAATGGGACAGTCCTTGTAACAAACAAGGATCAAGACACTGTAAGAACATTTTCAAGATAAAAACATGAATGACATAAGATCCATAAATATTCTAGGAAATATTCTACCCGTTCCTTAAAGATACATATTTTAGAAAAAAAAATTTGTTTATATAAGATTCATTTTTTACATTTTCAATACATGTTTTATTAACTAACTGTAAACTTCAAAAAACTTAATTGCATTAATTGATTTTTTATTGATTTAAAATTATAGGAAGAAGATAAATACAAAAAACTATGCAAATTTATTATGTTTTATTAAAAAGTGTGAAAAACTAGAATATGGATCTTTTAGGAACATAGTATAAAACATTAGATTGTTTTCAAGAAGAAAATAATTTTCAAGGAAAAGTGGAACAAACATCTAATATAAAATGAGAGAAGCCATGAGAGATATAAAAACAGTTAAATGATTTACATGAACAAACAAACAAGACATATGCGAATATGTCTTTGTGTTTCTTATGAACATATGCTAATGTGTCGCATTCATAGTGATTGAAGGAATCCTATTGTTCATCAAATAGGAAAATCTAGAGTAATCCTTTAGGTTGTAGAATTTCTCAATAAAAAGCAATGTTACACATGATCCTTCCCTAAGGTTCTTATTGTTGCTAACTTGTACCTTTCTTTTCACATTATAAGGACAACCTTTCAAGATCCTCTGTGAGACTTTGCTCATGAAAGTTTCTTGCAAAAAGATTTAAATAATTCGCTTTACTAGCTTCTGCTTCATTTGTAAGCCGTTTCTTCTCCATATATTTGCGTGTCTTTCTCGGTCCTTTATACATGATACAACGGATCATGAGGTCACCAATGCCTCTTGAATCTTCTTTGTTCTCATCCATGGTCAAAAGTATAAAAACGTTTTAGCACAGAAACTCCCACTGAACATAACAAATATGAGTTTCTATAAGGCCGGTTGTAGCGTGTAGCTTCTTCCTCAGCTTCAAAACCTCAAAAAGGATAAATGAAAACCTAAAACACACTAGCTTCTTCAGGATCAATAACATTGATTTTTCTTTAGTCCAAGGTCCTGATAATTTAGCAGCAACGGGAAATATAAAATGCAAGAACAGAGAGGAAAAAAACTATGCATAAAAGATAGACATCTGAGATTACTAGCTCCAATATGCTGATAAATTAGTTAATATATTTCTACTCCAGAGACATGGTCGGGACCAAGGTTTTTTGGCACAAGACAGTGTGTTCTCTGGTCGTATTCCTAAGCACTTATTTTTGACTTGGATGATTGCGAGGGACAGATTAGGAACGCGGGATAGACTTCTCAGATGGGAACTACAAGTTCCAGCAGTTTGTGTACTGTGTAATGGGGGGAATGAAACAAGACTATATCTATTTTTTTATTGCCCCTACAGCAAGGAGATTTGGCTTTATTTCACTTCAAAGCTGAGTCTCTCTCCTCCCATGAGGTTTGAGTATATTCTTAGATGGATGGATAGACCTTCTAGAAAATCTAATGTTGAAGTTATAATTAAACTCCTCTTCCAAGTCTCTCTATACTTTATATGGAGGGAAAGGAACTCAAGAGTGCATACTGATATTGCCAGAACATCAACCTCACTGACTTAAATTTGATCCGTTTGAAAGAACAAATTCATAGCTAGTATATCTATTTGCATGCGATTGTGTTTATGTGCTAGTTGATATATGGTGTTTTTAGCATATTCTAACAATGTTTTCTACAGTGTTTTTGAGTTTTTATCAAGTTTTTTTAGTCATTTTCAAGTCATTATAGGTCTGGAGTTTCTTTGGATGGAAGATGGACCAGTTGGAGGAAAATAATGCAATTTGATGATTTTCACGAAGAACAGTCTGCTGGACTGTTCCCGAGTGAGCGGAGCAACCCGATTGCCTGTTCCTGCGGCAGAAATTTTTATGGAAACCCTAATTATTTCGAGATTCGCCTTAATTCTTCTATTTTTCCTCTCCAGCTGTCGGCAACCTCCATATATATTATTTTTCTCTTTTCTATTATATACTACGTTACTTTTTACACCAGAAACCCGATCTGAGCTTTTGGAGATTTGTGATTCAGTACTTTGTATCTTTGAGGGAGAAGAATCTCTACAACCTTTGGAGAAGATTTCTAAACTCTCTTGCTTATTATTTATTGATTCAGACATGTTTTCCTCATCTCTATTCTCTGTGATTTCTCTGTTCATGGCTGAGTAGTCGCTTGTTAGGTTTAGGGTGTTAGGGAACATGGATTAATGAGCAAGACACAAATAGGATTGTTATTCTTTGATATCTCTATCTATTGATATACTTACTGCTTGTGTTAATTTGGCCATTCAACATCTGCTATCAAGTTTAATCTAATCATCAAAAGTGTTTTAGGTTGCTAGAAAAAGCATAGATAGGCAATTTGTCCTTAGCCAACGAGAGCTGATGTTAAGGCAAATCGTGAACCAATTGAATTTGCTCTTAATGCTTGTCATCAGTCTCTAATCCAAACGATAGTTTAGGTATTAGGATTACTTGATAAATTGGCAGATACCACGACAATGGGTTTATCTAATCTTGTTGTTCAAGTTCTAGATTGGCTCGTATTGTTTTCCTAAATAGTTGTGTAGCTCATAATCCTAAGTATCTGTGAGGGATAAAACTCACTTTCTAATTTAGGTTAGGTTAAGATTGGGGAGAAGACAATCGTGGGCTGAATCCCTTAAGAACTTAGAGAATGAATTATGATTGTATTGATGAATAAGGGTTACAAAGATGATTATGATGAGTACAAAGAATATAATCGAATGATTTGAGAGTTACAATGTGTGTGTAAATTTGTAAAAAGCGTGAATGAATCCAGAGAGAGAGAGGGCTTTTCTCTGATATCCTCCTTCTCCTTAAATAGCTCTCAGCCACGTTTGAAGGATCCTAACCAGCCTCCGAGATTTGCTCCGTGAGTTGGGGGATTCTCAACAGTCTCCTTTTGACCGGGTCATGCGCAACCAGCCTGAGCTACTCCTGTTAGCTCCTTGTAAATGAGGTCCGGAGCTCTCCTGTTAGCTCCTTGTAAATGAGGTCCGGAGCTCTCCTCCGTGACCTGTTTATAAATGAGGTCCTGAGCTCTCCTCCGTGACCTGTTTTGTTGACGTTCCTTCCTTAGCAAAAACAGCCTCCGGCTTCTTTTTGACTCTTTTCTCAAAAGATTAATTGCCAATGGGCTTACAGTGGCCCATAGTCAACTATTATCGTTCTAGCCCATTAGTCTCAGCTAGCGGGCCATATTTGGGCCCAACAGTTGCCCCCAGCTTTCGAGATGAGACCTCTTTTCTCGGAAGCTAAAGCTCAACCGCCTGATCTCTATCTCTTTGTTGAGATAGCGACTATGTCTTCGTGTTCCCAAGACTTCTGCCCAATGGGCTTTCTTTTTATCTTTGTT